CACGATCAGGAACTGGGCTGCTCCACTATCTCTGAGCACTACAACAGATCTACCAGTGTGATCACTCGTTACATACCCGCTTGAAGTGTGAGGGGCGAACAAACTTGGTCCTTCCTGTGTCGTCGTCGACTGGCTTCCTGCTGGTGGTGTAACACAGCTCATCAACATCACCTCCCTTCGTGCGCCGCCACCTCTTCTGCCTCGGCACATAGCAGCTACATGCCCTTTCTGCCCACAAGTCCAGCACACCATATTCCTCCTTGTACTACGGTGTTTCGGACTGCTAGGACTCTTCCTTCGAGGGCTACTTGGGGGCGTCTTCTTAGCGCTTTGTGGGACGGGTCTTTCTTCTTCGTCATGAGGTCTGTCAAACCGGCGTGGGTAATTCCTCGGGACGTACTTAGCAGACGGCCTATGAGTCAGGATGTATTCCTCAGCCATTGTGGCTGCTGCACTCAAGGTCTCTACCTGTTGTTCCTCTAGATACGTCTTCAGGTCTCCAGACAAACAATCCTTGAAGTCCTCTAGCAGTATGAGCTGCTCGAGGTCTTCTTTGGTCTCCACCTTCCGAGAGACACACCATTCCTGGAAAAGTCGCTCCTTGATAGTGGCGAATTCGGTGAAAGTGTGCTCTGAGGTCTTTTTCAGGTTCCTAAACTTCTGCCTGTAAGCCTCAGGTACCAATTGGTACGCCATGAGCACGACCTTCTTCACCTTGTCGTAATCGCCGGAGTCGTCAAGGGATAACGTGGAGTAGGCGATTTGGGCCTTCCCAGTCAAGACTGACTGTATCATGATGGCCCAATTCTCCCTTGGCCACTCCAAAGAGGCAGCGACTTTCTCGAAGGCTGCGAAGAACTTCGAAACTTCCCTCTCGTTGAATTTTGGGACCATTTTGATGTTCCTTACCGGATCGAAACTGCTGGTGTCCGTTGTTTGCCTCCGACCACCGCCTAATCGTAATACTTCTAGTTCATGTTGTCTCTGTCTTTCGTTTTCTTCTCTCTCTCGCTGTTCTCTTTCTCGTTTCTCTTCTCTTTCTCGCTTCTTTCTTCTCGTTCTAATTCTAAACGTCGTATCTCTAATTCTTTTCTCAATCTCTCTCTTTCCATTTCTTGTCTTTCTCTTTCCATTTCTAATTTCTTATCTACTCTCTTTCTCGCTTCCTCTTCTCTCTCTATAGCGATCTCTAGCTTTTTCCATTCTATTTCTCGATGGATCTCTAGTTCACGCATTTTCACAGTAAGCACACTTATATTTAGTTCACTCTCATCACTTTCGATATCACTGCTCTTACCTTCCTTTTCAGTGGAAGCTATTTCCTTACCTTCCTTTATACTAGGAGCCTCGCCTTCCTGTTTCTCTGCCTTCAAATGCCGGTGAACCTTGGACAAGATCTCCACACGGGAATCACTGGCACGGATCTTTATCTCCAGGTAGGCACTGACTAGTACAAGTTCCGGTTTGCTCAGATATTTTAATCTGGCAAGACAGTCCTCTCTGTTTAGAAAAGCCTGAACATCGTCCAGCTCATTGATGGTAGCCTTTTCTGCCATTGTCACAGATGGAACACTTAGTACTTAACACACCGCTTTCACACTAGCACTTAACGCACCGAGCACTGTTCTACGTCAATATTGCACTTTATCGCACCAAACACTGCACTTGCCAATATTGCACGTAATTACTTCGGGCACCGCACTACACAATATTGCACTTAATCACAGCGAACACCTCGCTCTACAATATTGCACTGAATCACAGCGAGCATCGCACTGCACAATATTGCACTTAGTCACTCTGAGCACCGCACAGGACGTATAACGTCCTAATCGTCACACACGGGGGGAATTATTTACAGGGATTACGCCACTTCACCACCCGTCAAACATACTCGACAAGGGGACGGATCCCGCTGGGGATGCCAATTATGTTACGGCCCTCTCGGGTCGCAACTGGGTTCTTACTCTGATGTCGTTAGAGGAAGGGTATCCGGCCCCAAGCCAGTAGTGGCTTTCAAGGGATGTGATCAGTAACGCAAGTAAACTAAAAGGGGAAGGGAAAGAAAGGCAAAACTTAAGATTATAATTAATACCTTCACCAATAAATAATATATAAAAGTTACACAGGGGGAGGGGTATTAACACTGCACAGGGGAATTACTTACACGGTAGTCTTCTTCTGAAGAGCCTGGATCATCTTGGTGCCAAGTTCTCGGTGCTCTCGTGGCCTCTCGGCGAATCCTTCAAAAGCTGAGTCTACCCCGGCCACAGGCCAGCCAAAACGCAGTTCCACTGGGGGCACCGCCGTGGAGGCCGTCAACCACAAGTCCAGCAAACTGCTGGCAGGTTCCGGATCAGCAACGCTGTTCAGGCCACTCCGCGAGCGATACTAGGGTAGCGCCCTAGTCAGGAGCCTCGTGTGATACCACAGATCACTCTCCTGTCCACAATACCCCAGTGGTCAGTCGTCTCCAGCAGTCGGTCCCCGGGTATGACAATCCTCAACTGCCGCTTCACAGGCAGGGTAACACCACAGTGTTCATCCGGGAGGCGACTCACAGCTGCTGCAGCAAAGCACAAGGTATGGGGACGGCTGCCTTGGGTAGACTGACTCAACTTCCCTTACAGCAGTCCCAGGTCGACTCTGTAAGCAGACACGTCATCAATAACAGGGACACACTAAAGCACCTCACTTACAGGCTCAGACACAAACGCCCGACATATCCACTCCATAGATGGCGTTGTCGTCTGAGCACCACCTCGCCAGAGGTCAGCAGCGGCTGTGTTGTGGGCTGAACAGGACTGGAAACTGGCTCTCGTAGCCAGTACGCCCCGTCCTCACCAGGTGTCGTCGTCCCTTTGGAGGGGGTTTCGGGAGCTGACCCACAAATGGCGTGGTCGTCACTGCTCCGTGCTCGGACGCTGGATCCGGGTCCGTAACAGTGAGCTACCAAGCCTGACACACGCAGCATGAGCTCACAGCACTGCTGTTCAGCTTGTGACCACAGCATCGCCTAAAAATGCAGTAATATACATGTTCTTGCTATTATTTAGCGATGGTATTATTACAGAAGACCCCTGACTGTGATAAAACTGACCAGGGATCTAATAATAGCAAGATTGTGGTGATATTTAGCGCTGTGCTTCATGGAGGGAGGAGTAATGTTGTGGGAGGGAGGGTGGTGGCATTGTCTTCTGACTGTGTGTGGCCACTTTTTATTGACTGCACTCACCATACCAGCTTAGTGGTTCGCTATGGTGAACACAAATGTAGATACTTATATATAACGTGTGTATAGAGTGTAATAACAGCAGTAGGAGCAGGTTGGGAGCTGCCATTTTGGTGAGGGAGGTGCGTCGTCTGCATGACTTATCATGTTTACTGGTGACCACTATGGTCTTTGGGCACCATACCAGTTTACTTGTACAAGTATGGTGAATAAAACAGGTAGATCTTATATATAATGTGTGTATACAGCATAATAACACCACAAACAGTATTGTTGGAGGAGAAATATTAGTGCGTCTGGCCTTGAGGGCGGCTGCCACCAGCTGTGTGAGTAGCTACGTCTTTGTGCCTTTACTCACCATACAAGCTTAGATGTACAGTTATGGTGAACAAAACATGTAAATACTTATATATAACGTCTGTATATAAAAGCAAAAACAGTATGGTGGGAGGAGAATGGTGGCAAGTCAGGTGAGGTGAGGGAGGGATGGAGTGGCAGCCAGTGGCGGGCTGCCACTGGCTTAGATACTTATATATAACGTCTGTATATAGTGAATAAAAGCAAAAACAGTATTGTGGGAGGAGAATGTGGGAAAGTGAGGTGTTGAGGGAGTGAGGGAGTGAGTGGCAGCGAGTGGCTGGCTGGTGTGTGGCGGTCACTCCTTGTTACTTTTAGACTCATAATAGCAACTTAGTGGTTCATTATGGTGAACAAAACATGCAGATACTTATATATAACCTGTGTATATAGTGTAATAACCGACAAAGTATTTGTTCACTGTTTGATGAACATAACTGAATCAACAATATGCACACCATATTTTTGAGTACAGCAATGATTCACTCATTTTGTTATATATCACTTTACACACTATTGAATAATATTACGGCAAAAAACTACGAAAAATCAATCAGGCACATTGAAATAATTAGGTAATTATCTCTTTGTGGCCACTCCTGCCTGACAGCTGGCGAGCAACAGACCGTCTGGGACGCATACTGAGTCAGCTCCTGTTTTTTGCCAGACTTACCCACCCTATAGCGGACAATATATGCCACTTAGGATTTTTTTTTATTATTTTTCCCATGATCAGTGACCACAAATTAACAGGTTTAGAAGAAAAAAAATATATATTTTTTTTTTTTTTTTTTTTTGGTATGCGCTTGTGGGTGACACATGCTAAATAGCCAGGCGCCATTTAAGGGTTAATTATTGAGCTCATAAAATTAACTAATATAGGTGGCCATGTCATAAAGCTGCAGGCGTAATAATAATCCCACGTGAGTGCAAATCTTTCCCCTCCAAATATCTAGATATTACTTTATATGTGTGTGAATACTAGTTTGGGGTGGAAATTACGGAAATATTATTATTGCAGCATGGTGCAACACCCCTGAGGAAGCGTGTGACCACCATACCCTCACGTGCTCCAAGTATCACTATCTCAAACTGTTTCCAGACTGGCGTACAGTAGACTACATCTATGTCCCTCTATCACAGCTGAGATTTAATCAGTTTTTCATTGTAGATAGTACTTTAATACTCCGAGTCCATATATATATATATATATTATATCACCTTTATTTTTATAATCTTTACATTGCAGTAGTATTTCTTGCATTACATATTTTCTCATCTATGTGTGTGCATATTATACTTATTATTATTATTATTATTACATAATACTGAATGTTACACATAGACTAATCTTATAGAATACCCCCCAAAATGTGTCATGGGAGGCTGGCTCTAGAATTATAATTTACAGTCATGCCCCGGGAGACATGTCTCCGGCCAGGCCCTCGGGGCAGGTCTCCGGCCAGGCCCTCGGGGCAGGTCTCCGGCCAGGCCCTCGGGGCAGGTCTCCGGCCAGGCCCTCGGGGCAGGTCTCCGGCCAGGCCCTCGGGGCAGGTCTCGGGGCAGGTCTCCGGCCAGGCCCTCGGGGCAGGTCTCCGGCCAGGCCCTCGGGGCAGGTCTCCGGCCAGGCCCTCGGGGCAGGTCTCCGGCCAGGCCCTCGGGGCAGGTCTCCGGCCAGGCCCTCGGGGCAGGTCTCCGGCCAGGCCCTCGGGGCAGGTCTCCGGCCAGGCCCTCGGGGCAGGTCTCCGGCCAGGCCCTCGGGGCAGGTCTCCGGCCAGGCCCTCGGGGCAGGTCTCCGGCCAGGCCCTCGGGGCAGGTCTCCGGCCAGGCCCTCGGGGCAGGTCTCCGGCCAGGCCCTCGGGGCAGGTCTCCGGCCAGGCCCTCGGGGCAGGTCTCCGGCCAGGCCCTCGGGGCAGGTCTCCGGCCAGGCCCTCGGGGCAGGTATCCGGCCAGGCCTCAGGACAAGCCAAGCCAGGCTAGGCCTCATGCCAAGCCAGGCTAGGCCTCATGCCAAGCTTCATGCCAGGCTTGGCATGAAGCTTGGCATGTCCTCCAAGCTTGGCGGTCCTCCCAGCTGTCAGGCTAGGCGCCTGACAGCTGGGAGGACAGGGCTTCAGATTCGTAGTCCTGAGGTTCCGGGTTCGATCCCTGGTGGAGGCGGAGACAAATGGGCAAAAAGTTTCTTTCACCCTGATGCCCCTGTTACCTAGCAGTAAATAGGTACCTGGGAGTTAGACACCTGCTACGGGCTGCTTCCTGGGGGTGGAGGCCTGGTCAAGGACCAGGCCGCAGGGACACTAAGCCCCGAAACCATCTCAAGATAGGTAACAGGGGCATCTGGGTGAATGAAATTCTGCCCATTGTTTCTCGCCGGCGCACGGGATCAAACCCGGGACTACAGGATCACACGTCCAATGTTCTGTCCGCTCAGCCACCGGCTCCAGTCTGTCATGGAAAGACCTTCATTCCAGTTCCAATGTTAAAATTTCCATAAATGACTCTCGTGGTTTTTCAGGCTGATGGGTCCACTGCTGAACAAGGGCCACATTTTATATAAAGACAATAGTTGTATCAGTCCTATACTAACTAGGCTTTTGCTTGAACATAACACTGGAGTTTATGACATTGATATATATATATATATATATATATATATATATATATATATATATATATATATATATATATATATATATATATATATATATATATATATATATATATATATATATATATAAAAATATAAATATAATGTCGTACCTAGTAGCCAGAACGCACTTCTCAGCCTACTATGCAAGGCCCGATTTGCCTAATAAGCCGAGTTTTCCTGAATTAATATATTTTCTCTAATTTTTTTCTTATGAAATGATAAAGCTACCCATTTCATTATATATGAGATCAATTTTTTTTATTGGTGTTAAAATTAACGTAGATATATGACTAAACCTAACCAACCCTACCTAACCTAACCTATCTTTATAGGTTAGGTTAGGTTCGGTAGCAGAAAAAGTTAGGTTAGGTAGTCGAAAAACAATTAATTCATGAAAACTTGGCTTATTAGGCAAATCGGGCCTTGCATAGTAGGCTGAGAAGTGCGTTCTGGCTACTAGGTACGACATACATATATATATATATATATATATATACATACATACATACATACATACATACATACATACATACATATATATATATGTCGTACCTAGTAGCCAGAACTCACTTCTCAGCCTACTATTCAAGGCCCGATTTGCCTAATAAGCCAAGTTTTCCTGAATTAATATATTTACTATAATTTTTTTTTATGAAATGATAAAGCAACCCTTTTCTCTATGTATGAGGTCAATTTTTTTTTATTGGAGCTAAAAGTAACGTAGATATATGACCGAACCTAACCAACCCTACCTAACCTAACCTAACCTATATTTATAGGTAAGGTTAGGTTAGGTAGCCAAAAAAAGCTAGGTTAGGTTAGGTTAGGTAGGTTAGGTAGACGAAAAAACATTAATTCATGAAAACTTGGCTTATTAGGCAAATCGGGCCTTGAATAGTAGGCTGAGAAGTGCGTTCTGGCTATTAGGTACGACATATATATATATATATATATATATATATATATATATATAATTACCCAAGTGTAGTTATAGGATGAGACCTACGCTCGTGGTGTCACGTGTTCCCAGCACTGTCATATAACGCTTTGCAAGTACCGACGGTCTTGGCCACCACCACCACCTCACCTAACTTGTTCCAACCATCTACCACTCTGTTTGCGAAAGTGATATTTCTTATATTTCTTCGGCATCTGTGTTTAGCTAGTTTAAATCTACGACCTCTTGTTCTTAAAGTTCCAGGTCTCAGGAAATCTTCCCTATCGATTTTATCAATTCCTGTTACTATTTCGTATGTAGTGATCATATCCCTTCTTTTTCTTGTGTCTTCTAGTTTTGGCATATTTAATGCCTCTAACCTCTCCTTGTAGCTCTTGCCCTTCAGTTCTGGGAGCCACTTAGTAGCATGTCTTTGCACCTTTTCCAGTTTGTTAATGTGCTTCTTAAGATATGGGCACCACACAACCGCTGCATATTCTAGCTTTGGCCTAACAAAAGTCGTGAACAATTTCTTTAGTATATCACCATCCATGTATTTAAAAGCAATTCTTAAGTTAGAAAGTGTGACCATAGGCTCCTCGCACAATATTCTTTGTGGTCCTCAGGTGATAGTTTTCCATCTAGAACCACCCCTAGATCTCTTTCTTTATCAGAATTCTTTAAAGATTTCTCACATAATATATAGGTTATGTGGGGTCTATGTTCTCCTATTCCACATTCCATAACATGGCATTTATTAACATTAAATTCCATTTGCCAAGTGGTGCTCCATAAAAAAAATATATATATATTTTTTAGAAGTTTGTGAGGGTACTACCTCTGGTGCCAATGTGGGGACCCATAGCCTCGGAGAAGAAAATAAAAAGTATGGAGACCTTGTGGTTTCTCACTGAACACTAATATTATCTTCTCCTACTACCCCCATTCTTTTGTATGTACACATATATATTTACTTTATTTGAACTTTGTTACAAAAAAGGAGTTACATATGGGTTACAAAGATGGTTATCATAGGTTGTCGAGTTCCTCCAGCTCCTCAGATGGCGGGCAGGAACCCTGGATGCAGTGCGCATTTCCCCTCTGTATCGCCACACTGAGGTGCTGGAAAAGAAAGCTTGCAGCTCTTGGGTCCCTTGTTGTTTCAATGAGCCTAGAACCCAGTTCCTTCAAAAAACTGGTAGCACTTTTACCCCAGGCGCCGAGTGTCTCAGAAGCAATGGGGACAAAATTGTAGTGGTGATCCAGTTCTCTATACTTACGGGATTTGGCTGCTTCCCTGTGGGTGGCAACGCCACCTGGTTGTGCAACACTGAGGTTAATGTAGGTGTTAGCCAGGGTTGATACGCACGTGTAGTCCCATACCAACTGCTTGCCATTCTTCCAGGGGTTCACTGTGATACCATCCGGGCGACCAATAAGAGCATCAGAGTTACGGGGCGTTAGGTAACGGGGCTCTCTTTCAGCTGGGCATCCAGCTGTGGTGAGGCTCCTCTTGATGATGTCGTTAACTTCACTGTGCCTCGAGTGCCATCCCCCTGTGCTTTGGCAGAGTAGGCCATGGTGGCCGTACCTGTCAGCCACCACCTCGCCGCAAATACACCTATACCACTCTGTGGCACAGCGTGTAAAATTGGGATCATGTACACCTGCCAGCTGATGTAAGTGGGCAGGTAGAATTTCCTTCACAAGGTCGTCGGATGCTGATAAGGAGGACAGGAAGGCTGGAACAGCGATTTGCGTTGCTGTTCGAACTCCGAGGCCCCCCAAGTCTTACGGGAAGAGAGGCTTGTTTCCACAGTAGGTCATCGAGAGAGGTTAAGGGCTTTTTCTAGCATTGATTTCAGTAACCGGTCATACTCACTTAGTTTTTGGCTACTGTAAGATGGTGAACACCTCAGAAAGTAGGTTAATCTGGGGAGGGACAGACATCTGGTGATGAGGTAGAGTGCATCATGAGCATCAATATCCTCAATCCTCCCATCCATCCTCTTAAGGTCGGCGATTTTCTTATCAAGGACCTCATCGATGGCTTTCAACCCCAGGGGAGCGCCTAGGAGTGTGCTGTCTTCAGGTTTAGTTTTATGGATATTTGGCAGAAGACCCTCTATTCTCTCTACGATGCCCTGGTTGGAACATATTATTTCACATTTAGAAGGGTTCAGGGTGAGGCCTAAAACTGCACCTTGCTCCTGGATTTTTCTGATGTCCTCCAGGAGGGAGTCTTGGGAACCAGCTAGGGTACCATCATCCAAGAACCAGATGTTAAGCTCGCTGGACAGGACCTCTGTGACTTGTTTGATGACTAAGCAGAAAAGGAGAGGAGCAACGGGGTCACCCTGTTGGACGCCTTCTCGCGAGTCAATTTCATGTTCCCCAAAAGTAGCTTAAGATCCATACTGTAGCATGAATGTACAAAAGGGTAGAGGGAAGGGAAATGACTATGAACCGCACGGAGTACAGCATCCCTCCGCACCAAATTGAAGGCATTTTTGAAATCTAGCTTGATAAGGGCCTTTTCGTCTGTGATGTTGGCGATGAAGCCTCGAGCTGCATGGGCTGCCGCCTCACACCCTTGTGGAATGCCAAACCCGAGCTGTTTTGGCTTCAGCATGTTGGCCGCTGCATCACTAACTGTTCTTGCAGCTGCCTTTGCGACGAGACGCCGGAGAGAATTGCCCACAGCTATTGGCCTGATCCCTCTATCCTTTTTCTTTAGAGCACAGAGAGATGCTCCAAAAAAAGATAGGTCTTATGGACGCTGGTATGTTGCCAGCTAGACATGTGTTGGTGAATCTGGTTAGTTCCACCAAGAGGTTCTTTGCAATGTCACCCAGTGCAGGGTTGAGCATTTGCTTGAGGTGGTGTATGTATGTGTGTGTGTGTGTGTGTGTGTGTGTGTGTGTGTGTGTGTGTGTGTGTGTGTATGTATGTATGTATATGTGTGTGTGTAATATATATATATATATATATATATATATATATATATATATATATATATATATATATATATATATATATATATATATATATATATATATATATATATATATATATATATAATATATATATATATATATATATATATATATATATATATATAAAATGTGGTACCTAGCAGCCAGAACACACTTCTCAGCCTACTATGCAAGGCTCGATTTGCCTAACAAGCCAAGTAAGTAAGTAATTATCAAAAGAAGGCACCAAACCGGGAAGGCTATGTAGCACCATCAAATACGCAAAATGATCAGAGGGCGCTAAATATCACCAAGGATGCCAATACGAGAACAAAAACGCATAAGGGTGAACGATATCAAAAGTATCCGAGTCACCAAGAATTCTATCGAGGGACAGGTGACCGCGAGGGGCGGTCGGAAAGCAA